GTGCTTTCGTTTCCCGTCACAAATCAAATCCATCATGTACCCAGAATGCATCGCTTCAGTTTTCCAATAGACAGTTTTAAAATTACTTTATTGATGCTTCTTTAATGAAAAATCTACAACAAACAAAAGAAAAAAAAGAAGCAGCCGAACTAACAATCCTCAACAACTTTTTAATTTTTACACCAGGAGCTAAAAGGTCTGTTTCAGGAAATCACATCCCCAGCAATCAGTGGTTGTTGGATTAAGTTGTACAAGGGTTCATACACCACTAGTTGGCAGTGTTGTTCAAATACTGCACATGAATTGATCCCAGCTAGTAAGTGTCAAATTGAACTTCCGCTTTAAAATTAGCGTCTGCTAATTTTGCTATGGCATAAGCGGTTTTGAAGTTGCGGACCTAAATATTTTCAAACGCGCTTTAGAAATTGCGGAGCTAATTTTTGGATTAGCGCTGCCCACCACTGTTGTGAATAATGAAAAATCAAGCAAATAATTTTGCATTCAGTAATCCATTATGAAACTCGTGGTCATACTTTTTAATAGTAAACTAACCAATTACCAACTGATTATACAATAAATGATTCTGAACAATTGGTAAAACATCATCTCACTGGTTCTTTTCATGTYATCACTGGTTCTCATCTGGTACATCCTGTCTGAAATATTCATAGGAACTCATGAATGTCTGTCATAAATTGGAAAATTCTCAAAAGAAGGATAAACCATTTTTCTGAATGTCCTGACGTCACTTAATCTTATGCTCCATGTTACTGATATCTGATGATCATCTTCCCTTCTGGTTACTGTCATCTCCTCCTGATCCTCGGCCACTGCACTGTTTTCTATCTCATCTCAGTTACCATCTCATGTTATGCATGGGTCTCTCCATCATCCCTCCCCACCATCTCACTCCCATCCAGGAGCATTGTAAAGAATACTTTTAAYTAATTTTCTAGATTATTGCACTTGAACTTTTGCATTTGTTGCAATTTAGAGATTATATACATAGAATAAAACAGATAAAAACCTTGCATTATGAGTTCAAAATAGTATTTTATCATCTATCTCATCCCTGTTCTCCTCTGCTTCATTTCATGAATCCAAGCTGTCTGTTTCACATAACTCTTAATTTACAAGCAGTTCAAGGAAGTCTGTGAATTCTACTCTCTAAAAAACTTGCTAAATATGAAATAAATTGATTGTGAATTCACAATTCAGCAGAGAAATGCTTGCAGGTATGTTCCTTTATACCTCTCCAACAACTGTTGCTCACTGAGATGGACATTCAGTTTTGGAAAAATCATAGTTTCATAATAGAAAATATTTTCAAAACTACTTCAAATACTGTCACTTAAAATGGTTGTAATTGTACTAAGTTCTCATGAACATAAAGATACCTACTCCTCTTCTCCAGCAGTGGCAGAGCCAGAGATTTTTCTCAGCGGTGGCCACACTGGGACCACTACACACACAGGGGTGGCCACACTGGGACCACTACACACACAGGGGTGGCCAGACTGGGACCACTACACACACAGGGGTGGCCAGGAACATTACATCATTTTTTACTTGAAAGTTTCTGCAGATCTTTGTGTTTTGGTCATTTTTCCTCATGTCCTTATACAGGCAGTGACCTTATAAACATGGGTGCAGAACCATTTTAAAAGTGGGGGGACTGTCTGGGGGTCCTCCCCCAGAAAATTTTGAATGAAATAGATGCCATTTCCTTCGTTCTGGTGTATTTTACCAGGTTGTTTAACATACTTTTACCTACATAAATAAACACTTGATTTAATAATTATTTCAGAGACAGATTCTTCATTAAACTAGTTCCATCATCCTGTTTTTAAACTCACTGTTACAGCTGAGATAAGATTAATAAAAGTGACACAATTTATCATTTCTATTGACTTTAGGGGTGCCTTTTACTTTTATATTGTTTATTGATTTATTTTTAATTTTAACATGTCATTGTGCCAAATAATGATAACATTCAACTGAATGTTTAAAACT